TCTTCAATAAAGTCTGTGCTCAAGGGTAAAGAGGTGGGCAAATGTGCCACAGGAGAATGTGTCTGAGCAGGGAGCAGTGTCCTGCTATTGCCACCTCGTGGGCCCTCGCAGCAATAACCAGGTAACCCAAASTCTGGATTTTTAGCAGCCTGTGGACTCCCGGTTAGACAGTCCCACTTTCTCCGCCCTGTGCCCAGAGCCCAGCGCTGTCTGGGGCTCTTTTAAGGGAGCTGTTGSCTGGGAACCAAGGGAAGGCCCGAGTTACGATCAGGTGAGTTATGATAAATGGTGCTCGTCATTCACCTCTCTGGAAAACTGGGCCTTGGACTGGACCTCAGCATCAGCAGCTCCAGCTTTGCTGTGAGTTTGCATGGGGCAGGGCTGGGGATGGGACCGCTGTTGAAAGCAAAGCCGCTGGCCGGGAAGGGACCACTTTGCTAGGAGTGCTTCCCAACAGGAACATGCCTAGTGAGGGCAAGCTGGCTCCACGGGAATGCCCTGCACACAGGAGACCTTGTTGCACAGGGAGGATTTTGCCCTGGCCCATGGAAGGAGGATGTGATGGGGCTGCATCCCACTCCCCTTGGCTGGAGAATGGAGCTACTGCACTTTGGTGCTACCATCCTGCTGCTTTTCATTTTACCCAGTCGCTTAAGGTCCTGAACCGCTTCTCATTGGCATCGCTGGAAAAGCTCCTGAGGCTTCCAGCGCAAATTTGATCACCTATTTCACTGCTAAACTCTCAACATTTTAAACCAGCTTCTCTTGTGGTAGGAGAAATGCCTGGGAGCTTCCTTCCTTCTTCCTGTTCCTGCTCCAAGCTCACTAATATTCTATGGCTCCATGGATGTGTTTCTYGCACTTCAAAGTGCCTGTGCCTAGAGTTTGCACTTGTTATTCCACTTGATKTTTCTGACTTTGAAATGGTTACGGGGTCTCCTCTGAATGCTTTATGGGGTAACACAACTCCCGAAGAACAGGGCTCTCTCCAGCTGAGTAAATAGAAGATATTTTCATAAATTTCAGGCCTATTGGAACATCAACATCATCATCCTACATGGATTGTTATGACTTTGTATTTGCAAAGTCATATGTTGAAGCTTGGACCTGTGTTTTCAGCCTTGTCTCCTAATAAGCAAGAAACTTCAAGTAATCCCACAGAGGGTACTGCAGTTAAATAAACTCTCAGAGCCTTCTTGAAGCTCTCTATGAACATTACATTGCTTTGATCACACCCATTTCCTTGACTAGGAATCCCATCCTTTGACAAGAGATTAATGTCAGATCTTTACCTCCTTCTGCTGCTTCAGATGTTGACACACATGGATGACAGGATGGAAAGGGAAACTATTTTTTTTTCCTGCAGGAATCCTTGTTTGCTGGCCAGTGATTTTTCTTACTCTACCACCTCCCCATCCTATCCCAACACTTGTGGACCGTGTGCTCTCATTTGTGGTGGAGCGTGTTACCTGGCACCACACACAGACGCTGCTGCTCCTGCAGAGTCCAAGCAGCAGTGCAGATGACCAAAAGCCTGCGGGTGGCAAAGATGACAGGGAATGGGAATTCAAAGAAATGATCCAAAGCTGAACAAGTTCCTCACTCCAGGTGTGCCCAGCTCCTGCAGCACAGAGCTGTTCATTGTACGTATCTGCGACAAAGTTACCTGGAGCTGCAGCAGGTCATGATAAGACCTTTCTCCCCCAAAAGTTGCTTCAGAGCATGAACCTCTGCACCCACCAGTGGGGAGACSATCCACCCAGCACGCGCTTGGTGCTGGCTGCTCTCCCCTTGTTCAGCAACTGTAAACCAAGCAGCATCACGCAGAAAATAGAGAGAGAAGTTGCTCCCTGTTGAAGAGCCAGGCTGTGGGAAGCAGCAGCTGCTTAAGAGGATCTTTTCTCCCCTACGTCTGTAAGAGAAGCCTGTGTGACGAGCTGGCAACTCGGTGGCGTGTCCCTCGTGCAGCGCCGCTCCGGAGAGCTCTGACAAACACCAGCAGCCCTGTGTCCTCTAAAGCAGGAGCGCGTGGTAGGTTCTGTGGGTAGACACCAGGATCTGTCAGGAACACGGATTCCTGTGTGGCTTGGGGACAGGCTGTGCAGGGAGGCTGTGGAGGCTCCTTCTTGGGATGTTTCCCAAACCCACCTGGATGCGACTGGGTGCCCCGTGCTCCAGGTGTCCCTGCTGGAGCAGGGGGGTTGCACTAGATGATCTCTAGAGGTCCTTTCCAACCCCAACCATTCTGGGATTCTGTGACTTGAGACAAGTCAGAGAGTTCACATTCCTCAACTCCAGGTCTGTGACAGTCTGTAGCTCAAACTCCAGGGAAAAAGAACCCAGCTCTAGACGGGATGGACAGAGCAGGAGGGAGCCCATATAACTTACTGGAAAATGAAAACAGAGTAGGAGATTTTTAGTGACTTGGGGCACGACCAGTAAAATGAACTCAGAGTAATTAATTCTCAGCCCATTTGCTTTTCCATAAAGAAAGGCTCCCCAACCCCTGGATGGCTAAGAGCCCGCAGACCATCTCTCTGGCATTTTCCCAGCCTGGCTATGTTCTTCTTCTCAGCATGGACTTCCATTTCTAGTGGCTGATTATCTGTTTTCCTTCGAACCCACAGCTGGGGGAAGTGCCTGTGGGGATGCTGTTTTTCTTTCTAAATCAGCAAGTTTTTTTTGTTTGGTAGGTTTTTTTTTTTTCCTTCACGGTTTGCAACTTGCTCGTAGCCAAAACTCACAGATCCCCATTTGATTTGTTTTCTATCAATTCCATTCTTACTCATGACCTTAAAAAGATGAATAAATTCAGGTGATAAAACCAAAGCATTCCACGCAGTTCATTATTTGGGTTGTAGCACCTTATTTGTTTGTTGGCAAAGAGAAGCCCATGGGAAGAGGCAGAGGTCAGAATTTTGGYGAACTTCTTGACAGGAGAGACAGAAATGGAAAAAAACAAGAAATACAGAGCAGCTTTTTGGCTGATACAAACCAGCAGAGCTCCCTTGTTTTCAATTGACCTTCTCTGCTTTGGCCTGCTTCACATCCATGGCTAATTCTGCTGCAAGGTGAAATAACCCTCACCTGAAGGAGATGGGGAAAATTTTCTTCTTCACATGTTCTTCTGTACTCACCCCCAAATTTGTCTGAATACCATATTTGTGTTTATCTGTCTTTTACTCTTCCTTAAAGACCTGAGTTTTCACATCTAKATCAAACACCAGGTCTTACAGCTATCTTGGATATCTGCAGTTCTGAMTCTTACTCAAGGAAAATTCCCTTTGAATTAATTGGCTTCAATGGGAGATTTAGCTGAGTAGGAAGGGCAGGTTTTGGCCTCAAYGAGACTGTAAATTCCAGTGTAAAACTCTGTAGTTGTTCAGACACTCACTCCTGCCACAACGTCATCCTCCGTGTTTCCTTTCCTCAATTCCTTTCCTATTCGGAGCAGAAAAGCTTCCTGGCACCAAAATCAGATGCTGCTGATGGCCCTGGCCATCCCCCAGGACCCCCTGACGTCTGTAGAAAGCGTCGTCGTCTCCCCGGCTCTCAGAGGAGCGCATGGCYGGCGACACAGCGGGTGTTTTGTTTGGAAAAGCCAGGCAATAAACAGGCCTGATAAGGAACTGTGACCCTGCCAAACCCCCCGTTTGCCTTAGGTGAGGCAGTAAGTGCCTACAGCTCTGATAACTGCAGCATTGAAGATATCCTTGACAGTCACGCAAGGTAGCGCAGCGCTGCACTGCCCCTGCCAAGGGGGTCCCCAGCACAAGGACCAGGGATGCTCCTCCACCCCGGCAGATCTTCCTTCTTTTTTCAGAATGCACCAGACCGTACTCCTCCTTCCACGTAATTCTTTTTGTAGCAAAGCACAGACACATAGGCTGTTGCATGGTCCAAAATTACTTTAATCCCCAAATCAAACGCAGCCTAATTCAACAGGCCGTAGCCCATATGCAGAATTTTTCATCCTGCCAGCCTCTATAGCAAACTCCTTTGCTTAGAACCRTAGAGAAAACACTTTTTTTCCCCCTTCATATACAAGATCCCCAACACTTCCCATTCTTTCAAATGCTTCAGTTACTGATTTACATCCCCTTGGCCAAGGACATCTTGAGAAAATAAGTCAGTCGTGGGGCTTCCTGCAGGTTGTTGAGGTCCAAAAAATAGGGACACAACCCCTGGTAACTGATTCTAGAGGCATTTTTGGTTAGAGAGCTGGTAAAACATCCACGGTTCCTCCGCTTCCTAGAGCACAGAGCCGGCTGGAGCCTCAGCCACGTACTCGCACCCAAGCCAGGCTCCAGTGATGATTCACCAAAAACAGGAGAGGGGCAAATCCAGGTTCCCAGTTTGATCCAGGTAGCAAATAAATAGACAATACTGATGACGTGGCCTTTCTGGCTAGCCCTGCTCACCCATCTCTCTCCCAGTAGCCACATCCATGCAGGGATTATACAGGAACAAAACAGAATTTGGCAGACTTGCTTCTGAGAAAACAATCATTTAATGTCATTTTGTGAGAATACCTCACAAAACAAAAAACAAAACAAAACAAAAAAAAAAAGGAAAGGAGGAGCTTAACTTTTAATTTTCTGGGCTGCAGATGTGTCCAGAAGAGCCTTTTTAAGACATAAAAACTAAAATACTAGCTTTTGACCACTGTGAAATTTTTCCCATATAGAGTAATTTTGGTTCTTAGCGGACTTCACGCTACTTACCACAAAACATCTGTGAATGAAATTGCTTGGTAAAATATAGCTTAGATTGAAAAACTACGTTAGAATCAACGGGACACTAAATGATCTGACACTCTTGAGCTTTGACCTTGTTGAGCACTGAGAGAGTGGAGTGATCAGCTCGTTCCAGGYAGGTTTTCCAAACACTGAGAAATGGTTCAGCAAATGGGTCATTAACACATTTTGTCAGGTTATGCAGTTTTTCCCACCCCTCTAAACTGGGCTGCTTTCCAGGTCCAGTAGCCAACAATAAATCAATCACAGTCTCTCATAAGCCTTTTGACTTAAGTTTTATCCTGAAGGTTGGGTTGAAAACAGACCAGAACCCACTGCAGGAGGGAGCTAGTGGTGGCTGCTGTTCAGGAGGGGATGTTTGCTCGACCCACAGCCGTTCTTGGTGCCGTTCTTTGGGAACTCCTCTTCATTATCCGTCACCGAATCTTCCTCCTCTTCATCGCTCCGCTCATCTTTCAAGTCCTACAGAGAAGAAGGCACCGTGAGCATATTGCACGTCTGTTTGCTGTCACATGAATTACACGATGGCTGTTGCCAGTGCAGTGCAGACCTTTCGAAAAGGCCCACAGGTGCCTGCAGGAACAAAGTGCCACCCAAAGGCACCTGCCAAGAAGGCCAGGGCTGGCACCCAAGCTGAGGCCACCGAGCACCTCTTTAATTTTGTGCAGCCCAACATTTTTTAGACAAGACCTCCCCCAGGACCTTGGCCTGGGTCTTGACCTCTTGTTTCYGCTCTTGCTTGTAAAGTTGTGGGCAGCACCTGGGTGCTGAGGGATTAGCAATTGTGAAGGGCTGGAAAGATGAGAAGAACGTCATATAAATGCGAATTTGGAGGAATACACTGGCTAAAATATGGGATTTGAGAGGCTGGCTGCTCGACAGGCGTAAGCTGAACAGTGCCTGGTTGTGTCAGCAAGTCCCCGTATTGCTGGGAGAGACTGAACTGACCCCACGGCCAGCTTCTCTGCCCCGTGCCGTACCTGGATGCCCTGTTGTGTGTTCATCGCATCTACATTTGCAAGGGAAGGACACACTCCCGTCCAGCTGTGATCCTGGGGGTATCCCTGATACCCCTGGAATCACTGCAAAGGGAATTGCCAAGGAAATGGTGCTGATGGTGATGATCAGCAGGAAGAAAAGCGGGGCGGAAGGACAGTCTGTCCTTGAGAAAATCCCTTCCAGCTYCATGGGAGCAGCTTCCAGTGTCTAGCAGTCATTCTTCATACCCAGTCAAACATGGCAGCTGCTAGTGAATGCTTCTGCCGTGCAAGGACAGCTCTGTGTCCACACAGATAGTGAACAGTAAAGCTGGGGGAGGTAGAACAGTTCTGTGCCAAGCAGGACAGTGAATAAAATCTAACACTGCTCTCTCCTTTCTCAAGCCCTACCATAATCCAGGCCCTACAATGCACTCAGGCTGTTGGTTCAAACAAGGCATTTGGGTTTTTCAACCCCTAAATCTCTATTTGTCTTTCAGCACAACAATCTTTGAAGAGCAGCCCCTTCTTCTCACAGTGACTTCGGGCACCAGCCGACGGGTCCTCCACAGACTCGAGGCAGGATGTTCTGGTGAGGGCCTGTAAATGGTTCGAACACTTCATTCAGCCTAAGCGGCCGACTGAGAATGGAAAGGAGACCTGAGGCTTCTCTTCTTAAAACACGTCCTTTGCTTAAAAACCACTCCTTAAAAACCACTCCTTAAAACCACTCCTTTGCTCATAGATTTGTTTTCCTTGTCACCTGCCTGGACTTAAATTAGGGAGACACCGGGTGCACAGCCTCCCCGTGCCCTGGCCAGGGCTGGGACAAGAGCCCCGTGTTGTCCCTGCCCACCCCAGACCTGCGCTCCGAATGCTCCGACAATTGCAGCTCTCTGGGTCCTCCTTCAGCACCAAATTTATACAGAGAAAATAAATGACAGCTCARTATTAACTCATGCAATTGCTATCTCATATCCCTTTCATATATTACATTTCTAGCAAGATGTATAGGGCTAGAGAGAAAATTAAAGCCAAACTCTGTCTGATCAGACCTTATAAACTTCCTGGAGCTTTTCTTTTGCATTTTCCCTAACAACATATAAAGGGCATCAAAACAAACAAATCTTACTGTAAATACTGTAAAATAAACTTGGCATGCCATCAGATAGAGAAAGGGAAAGACAGCCTTTCCCACACGAACAATTTATGAGGCTCTGCCTCTTTCAGATCACCTCTCTCGCCCCTGTTTGTTTTGTGATTTGTATTTATAGTGGAAGATGAATGTTTTGGAAGATTCCTTCTTTTTGCCACCAGAAATGATTCAGAAACAAATATAAATCAAACCCGAGAGGAGGGCCCGACAGGGAGTGCTGCACCCRTGGGAAATGCTCCAATCTTGGTGCTCCAGCGTGCGGAGTGACGCGGGCAGGAACTGCTGTTCTGCGAGGCCCTGAGCGCGTCAGCTCTTTCCAGGCACCTCACTCTGCCCCGCGGAGGTTGCTGATGATCCAGCACGTGGTGCAGAGGAGCTGCTGGGCTGCCTTGCTGCTGGG